GCTAGGCCCTTATTCTTGAAATTTTTCACTTGCTAGGCCCTTGATCTTGCAATTTTGCACTCGCGAGGCCCTTGTTCTTGCAATTCTACACACGCTAGGCCCTTGTTCTTGCAATTTTGCACACGCTAGGCTCTTGTTCTTGAATTTTTTTCACACGCTAGGCCCTTGTTCTTGCTATTTTGCACTCGCTAGGCCCTTGTTCTTGGAATTTTGCACTCACTATGCCCTTTTTCTTGCAATTTTGCACACGCTAGGGCCTTGTTTTTGCTATTTTGCACAAGCTAGGCCTTTGTTCTTGCAATTTTGCACACGCTAGGCCTTGTTCTTGAAACTTTGCACACGCTAGGCCCTTGTTCTTGCAATTTTGAACATACTAGGCCCTTGTTCTTGCAATTTTGCACACGCTAGGCCCTTGGACTTGCAATTTCGCACTCGCTAGGCCCTTGTTCTTGCAATTTTGCACACGCTAGGCCCTTGTTCTTCCAATTTGGCACACGGTAGGCCCTTGTCCTTTAAAGTTTGCACACGCTAGGCCCTTGTTCTTGTTTTTTTTGCACTCCCTAGGCCCTTGTTCGTGCAATTTTGCACTCGCTATGCCCTAGTTCTTGCAATTTTGCACACGCTAAATCCTTGTTTTTGCTATTTTGCACAAGTTAGGCCCTTGTTCTTGAAATTTTGCACACGCTAGGCCCTTGTTCTTGAAAGTTTGCACACGCTAGGCCCTTGTTCTTGCTATTTTGCACTCGCTAGGCCCTTGTTCTTGCAATTTGCACTCGCTAGGCCCTTGTTCTTGCTATTTTGCACACTCTAGGCCCTTGTTCTTGCAATTTTGCACACGCTAGGCCCTTGGTCTTGCAATTTCGCACTCACTAGGCCCTTGTTCTTGCAATTCGGAACACGGTAGGCCCTTGTTCTTTAAATTTTGCACACGCTAGGCCCTTGTTCTTGTTTTTTTTTGCACTCGCTAGGCCCTTGTTTCGTGCAATTTTGCACTCGCTATGCCCTAGTTCTTGCAATTTTGCATACGCTGGGCCCTTGTTTTTGCTATTTTGCACAAGTTAGGCCCTTGTTCTTGAAATTTTGCACACGCTAGGCCCTTGTTCTTGAAAGTTTGCACACGCTAGGCCTGTTCTTGCTATTTTGCACTCGCTAGGCCCTTGTTCTTGAAATTTTGCACACGCTAGGCCCTTGTTCTTGAATTTTTTCACACGCTAGGCCCTTGTTCTTGCTATTTTGCACTCGCTAGGCCCTTGTTCTTGCAATTTTGCACTCACTATGCCCTTGTTCTTGCAATTTTGCACACGTTAGGGCCTTGTTTTTTCTATTTTGCACAAGCTAGGCCCTTGTTCTTGAAATCTTACACACCCTAGGCCCTTGTTCTTGCATATTTTGCACATACTAGGCCCTTGTTCTTGCAATTTTGCACACACTAGGCCTTGTTCTTGCAATTTTGCACTCGCTAGGGCCCTTGTTCTTGCAATTTTGCACAACACTAGGCCTTGTTTCTTGCAAATTTTGCACACGCTAGGCCCTTGTTCTTGCAATTTTGCACACGCTAGGCCCTTGTTCTTGCAATTTTGCACTCGCTAGGCCCTTTGAAGCGCATGAGTCCCTGTAGGCGTAGGGAATAAGCATTCAACAACTTTTATTGTTTAGGCATATTTGACTAGCCCAGATTCAAATACACCTACTAGAGCCTTCTCGGCTTGGTTCTTGCGCGAAGAAAAGTTCGGCGCCTACGATTTCGGCCGTTTTTGCCGACAAGTGCCTAGAAAGCGCTTGAATCCCTATAGGCGTAGGGAAAAGCATTCAACAACCTTGTTGTATTGCATATTCAAGTGGCCCATATTCAAATACACCTACTAGAGCTTTTTTGGCTCGGTTCTTGCGCGAAAGAAAAGTTCGGCGCCTACGATTTCGGGCCGTTTTTTGCCGACAAGTGCATAGAAAGCGCGTGAATCCCTATAGGTGTAGGGAAAAGCACTCAACAACCTGATTTTTATTGCATATTCCACTGGCCCATGTCAAAATACATATACTAGAGCCTTGTGGCTTGGTTCTTGCGCAAAGAAAAGTTCGGCGCCTACGATTCCGACCGTTTTTGCCAACAAGTGCCTAGAAAGCGCGTAAATTTCTTTAGGCGTAGGGAAAAGTAATTCAACAACCTGATTTTTATAGCATACCGTATCACACCCGGATATAAGCGCATATGCGCTTATAATAAATTCAGTTTTTTTGAGGGGGGCGCTTGTAATTGAGTAACGGCCATAAGTCCCGGCACTTTTATATGTGAAGAATGAGGAATGAAGAAGAGAGGGGTTGCACTAGCAGCAGCTGGCATACATATAGGAAACCCTAATTGGGTTGTACTCGCTATAGAGTACCCCACTGCAGGCTAGACAATTATAACATTCTGACACACCCCCATAGCCAAAGTGGGGTGTAATCAGCACAATGAGCAAGCAGGCATGGAGCAGGAGTTCACAATAGCGAGCAAAGCTAGAGTTGATCACAGCGGGCAAGTGAGGAGGAGGAGGAACTATGGAGGGAGAGAAGATGGGAGGCAACGACTGAAGCTGCAGAGGCACGGGCACTAGGAGCGGCTGACTTAGTGGCTACCGAAGCAAGGGCGACGGACTACAGGAGTAACTGGCTCTGCGGCTATAGACGAGCGGCAGGAGCAACGGACCCACTGGCGACTGGTGCAACAGGCTCACCTGGCTACCGAAGCAAAGGGCGACAGACTACAGGCGCTGCAGGCGACACGACAGCTACCTCCACACAACCTCCTCCAGCTGCCCCACACCCCTCGATACACAACCCTTGCTCAAACCCTAGTTCCACTCCCCACAGCACCCCCCTTTCACACACCCCCTGCTGCACCCTAGTTCACTCACACCCCACCCCCTAGCACCACTCCGTCGACTCCACACACCCACCCCCCTCAGCGGTAGCTGCAGCAGTGTGAGACAGAGGAGGAGGAGGAGCAGGGGAGACCCACACACCGCGCCACCCTCTACTCGCCCACCCCCAAACCCTAACACAGGGCAGGGCCGGGCGACGGTATGGAGGTTACGGCGGGGGGGGGGGGGGGGGAGGGGCTGACGCGCGGCCTCCCAAGGCGCCAAAACAGGCGGCAGAAGGGGCGACGGAGCATGGGCCGGGGCAGCCGGGCAGGGTCGAGGCAGGGCCGAAATGGGTGGCGACGGGGAGCCGCGAAGGGGCCGCGAGGGGCCTGAAAGTTGGCGACGGGGCCGTTAAGGGCGGCGACGAGGCCGCGAAGGGGCCGCGAGGGGCCTGGAAGGGCGACGACGGGCCGCTAGGGGCGCAACGGGGCCGCGAGGGGCCTGAAAGGTCGACGACGGGACCGTTAGGGGCGGCGACCGGGGCCGCGAGGGGCCTGGAAGGGCGGCAACGGGGCCGCGAAGGGGCTGCGAGGGGCCGAGAAGGGCGGCGACGGGGCCGCGAGGGGCGACGACGGGGCCGCTAAGGGTCGCGCGAGGGGCCGTGAGAGGGGCCTCTAGGAGTGCTCGAAAGAGGGCGGCCGACGGGAAGAAAAATTCCGTCGCACGCCACGGGGCAGCGGAAGCAGTTTTGTGGGCCCACAGGCCAGAGCGTAGATGCTCTGATACCATATGAAAATGAGGAATGAAGAAGAGAGGGGTTGCACTAGGAGCAGTTTGGCATACATATAGGAAACCCTAATTGGGTTGTACTCGCTATAGAGTACCCCACTGTAGGCTAGACAATGTAACATTCTGACAATATAATGACAAATACAATTTTAGGGTACCAAAAATGTACCTTTCATTGCTGCAATTCAACTGAGTCGAAACAATAGAACGCCTCAAAGCAGAATCGCGCGGAAGCGATTCTGCTTCCTGCACACGGGCAAATTCACGTCATTCTGCAAGCACGCCAGCACATCCGGACTGGATGCGCAACCAGTCAGGTCTTCGCGATTCAAACGAAGCGAAAATGATTCTGGACTCGCTGCAAAAATGAAATTCGCTACTGCTATATGCCAGAACATTATAGCTTATGCGTTTGTGTAGGCTGTAGTGGGGTAGCCCAGATGGGGTACAACCAATTAGGGTTAGTACTTGTACCCAACTCTTTCATAGTGCATTCATCTCGTTTCAGTTTTTCTCATGGTATCGAGCAGGGTCCCTCATGGGAACTGTTCCTAGGGCCCACCGATTCGATTTTTTTTTTCCTGCCCGGAGCGCGCTCAGCCCTTGCCCGAGTCGCGCTCCCCCCTTTCCTCACTGTGTCGCGCCGCCCTTGACGGCCCCGATCCGCCGCCCTAGCGGCCCCGTCGCCTACACCCGTGGCCCTCGAGCCGCCCTTTCCGGCCCCGATTCGCCGCCCTTTCGGCCCCGTCGCCTACCCAGCGGCCTCGCGCCGCCCTTCCTACCCGGCCCCGCCCTTGCTAGCCCCGTCGCCTACCTGCGGTCCCCGACGCCACCTGCGGCCCCCGTCGCCTACCTGCGGCCCCGTCGCTACCTGCGGCCCCCAACACCTACCTGCGGCCCCGTCGCCTCCTTGCGGCCCCGTGCTGCCCTTCCCGGCCCCGACCCCGCCCTTCGCGACCCGGCCCCCGCCCCTGCTGGCCCCGTCGCCTACCCTGCGGCCCCGTCGCTGCCCTTCGCGGCTCAGGCGCCGCCCTTTCTCGTCCCCGACGCCGCCTTTCCCGATCCGGCCCAGTCTCTGCTGGCCCCGTCGCCTACCTTACGGCCCCGGCGCCGCCCTTTCCCGGCCCGGCCCAGCCCTGCTGGCCCCGTCGCACGCCCTTCCCGGCCCCGACTCCGCCTTCACGCGCGCCCGCCGAGCTACTGCCGAGCCGCCAGCGCCACCCGAGCCGCCCGAGCCGCCGCGCCACTTGAGAACGCCTGAGCCGCCCGAGCCTCCCGAGCCGCCGTCCCGCCGAGCCGCCCGAGCCGCCCGAGTCGCCTGAGCCGCCCGAGCCGCCCGAGCCGCCCGAGCCGCCTGAGCCGCAGATGTGGCCGAGCCGCCGAGCTGCAGTTCTTGCCGAGCCGCCGAGCTGCAGTTCCTGCAAGCTCCCGAGCCGCCAAGCCGCCCGAGCCGCCCTGTCCGCTGTAAGAGCAGCGCCTCCATCACTACTACTGCCCTTACCCCACTGTTCCGCTACTAGTCTATTGCTGTCATGGCTATCCTAGTGTCCTCGCTTTTGACGCTGAGGTCGGGCCATTGACTTTGATGTCTGGGTAGAGATGACCTGCAGCTTTTCCTACAGTGCGATAGGGCAGACGGTCTCTCCTTCTTTGACCTCACCTCTGGTGCCTCTCCTGCCCCTGCTGCTGATGCTGACGACACTATTCGCTCACAGTGGGCCACACGCGATGCTGCTGCACGTCTTGCTGTGCGGCGCCACCTGCCTACCTCTGAGCGTGCGCACATTAGCCAGTACAAGAGTGCTCAGACCTTGTACGACGCTGTAGTTGCACGCTACTCCTCCCTCCCCTGCCACCACTGCACTGAGTCGCCTTCTGCTACCGTACCTCTTCCCTGACCTTGCTGCCTTTCCACAGTCGCTGACCTCATTACGCACCTCCGCACTAGTGACACTTGCTACCGCGGCGTTGCGCTTCCTGCAGAGTTCTGCGCCAAGAACCCCCCCCCCATGTACATCACTCTCTACTACATAGTCACCGCCTCCCTGACTCCCTTCGCGTAGTCAGGGACCACTTCCTCTCAGTTTGCCCCACCACCCTCACCGTTGACCTCCTCGAGAAGGCCCTCCTAGCAGCGGAGAAGAGAATAGTCACTGTAGGAGCCTCTCGTGGTGACCTTCGCACCCCCATCTTTGAGGGGTGTTTCCCCCCCCCCCTTTTGCCCTCTGTTGCCTCTGCTGCTGCGGCCGACCTCGTTGGGCTTGAGTCGGTCGGTGCGGCGTCTACCCCTAGCGGGAGACGCCGCCCTGGCAAGGGCAAGGGGGGCAGGGGCACTGGAGGAGCTAGCGGGGGCGGTGGGAAGCGGCGGTGGAGGCGGCAGAGGGAGTGGGGGGTGGCGGTGGGGTGGTGGCGGGGGTGGAGGTGTCGGTGGCAGCAGTGGAGGCGGAGGCGGCGGCGGTGGCGGTGGGAGCGGAGATGGTGGCGGAGGTGGCGGCGGTGGAGGAGGCGGTGGCGGAGAGGTGG